GCCCATAGACTCAACACTGCACCATAGACTCAACACTGCACCATAGACTCAACACTGCACCAAGACCTCAACACTGCCACCATTGACTCAACACTGCACCATAGACTCAACATGCCCCATAGACTCAACACTGCCCATAGACTCAACACTGCACCATAGATCCCCACACTGCACCATAGACTCTCAACACTGCACATAGACTCAACACTGCCCGTAGACTCAAACACTCGCACCATCGACTCAACACTGGCTGTCCCATAGACCTCAACACTGCACCACAGACTCAACACTGACACCACAGACTCAACACTGACACCACAGACTCAACACTGACACCACAGACTCAACACTGACACCATAGACTCAACACTGACACCACAGACTCAACACTGACACCATAGACTCAACACTGACACCATAGACTCAACACTGCCACCATAGACTCAACACTGCACCATAAACTCAACACTGCACCTCAGACTCAACACTGCACCATAGACTCACCACTGCACCATAGACCTCACACTGCACCATAGACTCAACAATGCCCGTAGACTCAACACTGCACCATAGACTCAACACTGCACCATAGACTCAACACTGCACAATAGACCAACACTGCCCCATAGACTCACCACTGCACCATAGACTCAACCTGCACCATAGACTCAACACTGCCCATAGACTCAACACCTGCCCGTAGACTCAACACTGCACCATAGACTCAACACTGCCCGTATTCTCAACACTGCACCATAGACTCAACACTGCACCATAGACTCAACACTGCACCATAGACTCAACACTGCCCATAGACTCAACACTGCACCATAGACTCAACACTGCACCATAGACTCAACACTGCCCGTAGACTCAACACTGCACCATAGACTCAACACTGCACCATAGACTCAACACTGCACCATAGGCTCAACACTGCCCATAGACTCAACACTGCCCATAGACTCAACACTGCCCATAGACTCAACACTGCACCATAGACTCAACACTGCCCATAGACTCAACACTGCACCATAGACTCAACACTGTACAATAGACTCAACACTGCACCATAGACTCAACACTGTACAATAGACTCAACACTGCACCATAGACTCAACACTGCACCATAGGCTCAACACTGCCCATAGACTCAACACTGCACCATAGGCTCAACACTGCCCATAGACTCAACACTGCACCATGGACTCAACACTGCACCATAGGCTCAACACTGCCCATAGACTCAACACTGCCCATAGACTCAACACTGCACCATAGACTCAGCACTGCACCATAGACTCAACACTGCACCATAGGCTCAACACTGCCCATACACTCAACACTGCCCATAGACTCAACACTGCCCATAGACTCAACACTGCACCATGGACTCAACACTGCCCATAGACAAACACTCCCCATAGACTCAACACTGCACCATAGACTCAACACTGCACCATAGACTCAACACTGCCCATAGACTCAACACTGCACATAGACTCAACACTGCCCATAGACTCAACACTGCCCATAGACTCAACACTGCCCATAGACTCAACACTGCACCATAGACTCAACACTGCCCATAGACTCAACACAGCCCATAGACTCAACACTGCCCATAGACTCAACACTCCCCATAGACTCAACACTACCCATAGACTCAACACTGCCCATAGACTCAACACTGCCCCATAGACTCAACACTCCCTATAGACTCAACACTGCCCATAGACTCAACACTGCCCATAGACTCAACACTGCACCATGGACTCAACACTGCCCATAGACAAACACTCCCCATAGACTCAACACTGCACCATAGACTCAACACTGCACCATAGACTCAACACTGCCCATAGACTCAACACTGCACATAGACTCAACACTGCCCATAGACTCAACGCTGCCCATAGACTCAACACTGCCCATAGACTCAACACTGCACCATAGACTCAACACTGCCCATAGACTCAACACAGCCCATAGACTCAACACTGCCCATAGACTCAACACTCCCCATAGACTCAACACTACCCATAGACTCAACACTGCCCATAGACTCAACACTGCCCCATAGACTCAACACTCCCTATAGACTCAACACTGCCCATAGACTCAACACTGCCCATAGACTCAACACTGTACCATAGACTCAACACTGCTCCCAGCCTCAAAAATACAAAACCTCTGATTAGCACGTTTGGCTACGTTAGAAGTTCAACACACACACAACACTGCCGTACGACAATGTTTTATCATCTCTCAGACCTGGTGGCATTAAAGTCCTCCTCACCCCCCCACCCCACCCCACATACCCCCCACAAAAACCATCTCTGAGGCGTCTGCGAAAGGGCGAGCGTTTGACGGCCTCGGCAAGTTGCCGTTTCATTTTCTTGGTTCTTTCGGTAAAGTCATCACGTAGAATGGAAATAATAAAGTAATAAAAATAAAACATAATAAAATAATTCTCACGACGTTTCGGCCACAAGGCAAGCAGCCGTCCTCGGGTGGAGAACAGGTCAGGCTGTCTTCTCGACAGACCTGTTCTTCACCTGAGGACGGCTGCTTGCGTTGTGGCCGAAACGTCGTGAGAATTGTATTTTATTGTTTTATTTTTGTTATTTTATTATTTCCCTTCTACGTGATGACTTTACCGAAAGAACCAAGAAGATGAATCCCTGCAGTCACGAAAGCTTTAAATCGAAATTTAAGTTGCCGTTTCTACGGTTGGAGGGGGAGGGGCAAGGTGGGGGGGGGGGGTTATTTTCATCGTTTGGTGTTTGTCTGCTCTGGAGCCCTCCCAAGTGACCGCTTGGCATTCGGCTCGCTAGTGGCACTGCTCCTCCGCTCCGCACCGTGCCGCCGGGTCGCGGAAACCTTTGACGACGGACGCTCCGCTCTCCGTGCCAGCTTAACTAAGTGGCGTCACGGTGGCTAGGAGATGTTAACTACCTCGCCTGGTGTACAGGAGGTCGTGGGTTCGATCCCGACCCCTGACGACGCCTGCTGCTGTATATTTGGAGTCTGCGTCTCTCTCTCATCATCATCACGGTGGCTAGGAGATGTTAACTACCTCACCTGGTGTACAGGAGGTCGTGGGTTCGATCCTGACCCCTGACAATGCCTGCTGCTGTATATTTGGAGTCTGTGTGTCTCTCACTCTCATCATCATCACGGTGGCTAGGAGATGTTGACTACCTTGCCCGGTATACAGGAGGTCGTGGGTTCGATCCCGACCCTGACGACGCCTGCTGCTGTATATTTGGAGTCTGCGTCTCTCTCTCATCATCATCACGGTGGCTAGGAGATGTTAACTACCTCACCTGGTGTACAGGAGGTCGTGGGTTCGATCCTGACCCCTGACAATGCCTGCTGCTGTATATTTGGAGTCTGTGTGTCTCTCACTCTCATCATCATCACGGTGGCTAGGAGATGTTGACTACCTTGCCCGGTATACAGGAGGTCGTGGGTTCGATCCCGACCCTGACGATGCCTGCTGCTGTATATTTGGAGTCTGCGTCTCTCTCTCTCATCATCATCATCACAGTGGCTAGGAGATGTTGACTACCTCGCCTGGTGTACAGCAGGTCGTGGGTTTGATCCCGTCCCTGACGACGCCTGCTGCTGCTGTATATTTGGAGTCTGCGTCTCTCTCACTCTCATCACCACGGTGGCTAGGAGATGTTAACTACTTCGCCTGGTGTACAGGAGGTCGTGGGTTCGATCTCGACCCTGACGACGCCTGCTGCTGCTGTATATTTGGAGTCTGCGTCTCTCTCATCATCATCACAGTGGCTATGAGATGTTAACTACCTCGCCTTGTCTACAGGAGGTCGTGGGTTTGATTCCGACCCTGACGATACCTGCTGCTGTATATTTGGAGTCTGCTTCAGTGAGTTTGTGGGTGTCTGTGTGAGTTTATGCTGGGGCCACATTAAGCAGACCCGGTTTTCACTGGATGGACCGTCGCTATGCTTGAGCAGAACTCATTCTGTGTAAATGCCACACGGTGGCTAGGGGATGTTTACCAACTCGCCTGGTATGCAAGAGATCGTCAGTTCGACCTCGAACCCTGACGACGCCAGCTGCTGTATATTTGGAGTCTGCGTCTCTCTCACTCTCATCACCACAGTGGCTAGGAGATGTTAACTACCTCGCCCGGTGTACAGGAGGTCGTGGGTTCGATCCCCGACCGTTGACGACGCCTGCTGCTGCTGTATATTTGGATTCTGCGTCTCTCTCACTTTCATCATCACGGTGGCTAGGAGATGTTAACTACCTCGCCCGGTGTACAGGAGGTCGTGGGTTCGATCCCGACCCTGACGACGCCTGTTGCTGCTGTATATTTGGAGTCTGCGTCTCTCTCACTCTCATCACCACAGTGGCTAGGAGATGTTAACTACCTCGCCTGGTCTACAGCAGGTCGTGGGTTCGATCTCCGACCGTTGACGACACCTGCTGCTGCTGTATATTTTTCAACTAGCGTAGCGATCGCCGTGACGTTTCCCCGCACGCGCGTAGCAAACAAACCGCCCTGGCTCCCGGAAACGTTTGCTGCACGGGAAACAAACTGAGTCGTCTCAACCCCGGCGATGCTTTTCTTTGTCCGTTTTTAGTTTTTGCCGTCGTGCGCCGATTTGGATCGGCCGCATTGCGATGCCGATAAAACAACGGCACTCCGGCCGCTTCCACGGCGTCCCCGACCGTTCGATTTGTTCACGGCAGAAAAACAGCCGCCGTTGGCATCGGCGGCCGTAGCCGGTCAGCCGGCATCTCGCTCCCTTCAGCGACCGCGAGCACGTCGGCCTGAGGCAGTGAACGATGCCCTCCCGACCGACCGACCGACCCACCTACCCACCGTCCCCCGTCGCGTCTCTCGACCCGCGTAAAAAAAACTCCCGCGGCAAATTTGCGCTCTCTTTGGATCCAGCGGGGCGACGTTTTTTCGAAGGGAGAACCGAGAGACACGGAGGAATGGCTGGGTCGCTCCTCACCCTCCTCGCCCCCTTCACCTTCCTTTTCCACGATCTGCTTGGGTCGGACAAATCGCCCGAGACGACTGCGCGTGGCAGCTACGGAGAGCGGTTCGCGCGGATTGCAATCGCGGGCAAGGAGAGGAGAGAAGAGAGATAAGAGGGAAAGGGGGTGGGGAGCAAATAAAGCAACGGAAAAAACCCGCAAAAAAGCGACCATGATGAACGACGCAAAGTGCCGACTAAACCAAGCATCTTCTTGTTTCCTCTGATCGTAAAAAGATAGAGAGAGAGAAGAGAGGTCGCACGTTTGGCGCGACGCTGACGAAGCGTGACACACGGACAGATGTAATCGGGGGGCATCTTTGCTCATGGGGTTTGTGCTCGGGCAATGTGTGCGTGCGGTTAGCGGGGAGTGGTAGTGTAGCTGTTACCGCTACGCTGCGCAGCGAACCCGTGGATCAGAGTTCGATTACCACTCACGGCCAACGCCGGTGACGATTATCTGAACCGGTCCTGGGCCTCTCCACCGCCGACTCAGCCTCAAACGAGTACCTGGTGCGGTGTGTAGTAAACATCGCCACTGGGGAGACAAAGTCGGCCAGGCGTGGTGCTGGTCACCCACCCCCTCGTGTGCTACTGTGCCGGCCTTAATAGGTGCTCGCTAACGGCCCTTGCCCCAACAGTCTGTTAAGGCTATATGGGGGATCTTTTTTTGGGGGTTAGCGGGAGCATAGTGGTTAGCGCTGCGCTACAAAGCCGGCAGAGAGCCAAGTTCGATTCCCGCTCACGGCCACCGACGCCGCTGATAGCGACTATCTGGACCGGTCCTGGGCCTCCTCCGCTAGGCTGACGCGGTCTCCTTAGATGAGTACCTGGTTATGGTGTGTTGTAAACATCGCCACTGGGGGACAAAGGCGCCCATAGACTCAGCACTGCCCATAGACTCAGCAGTGCACCATAGACTCAACACTGCCCATAGACTCAACACTGCCCATAGACTCAACACTGCCCATAGACTCAACACTGCCCATAGACTCAACACTGTACCATAGACTCAACACTGCACTATAGACTCAACACTCCACCATAGACTCAACACTGCACCATAGACTCAACACTTCCCATAGACTCAACACTGCACTATAGACTCAACACTGCCCATAGACTCAACACTTCCCATAGACTCAGCAGTGCACCATAGACTCAACACTGCACCATAGACTCAACACTTCCCATAGACTCAACACTTCCCATAGACTCAACACTGCACTATAGACTCAACACTGCACCATAGACTCAACACTGCCCATCGACTCAACACTGCACCATAAACACAACACTGCACGATATACTCAACACTGCCCCATAGACTCAACACTTCCCATAGACTCAACACTGCACCATAGACTCAACACTGCACCATAGACTCAACACTTCCCATAGACTCAAAACTGCACCATAGACTTAGTTAAGTCTGAGTCGGTGAATATCCGTTTGGCATCCTCTCAGTGCGGTGGCAAGAATGCGTTTCTAAATCCTCTCTCGCAAAAATTCCCCTTCCCCAGAATATGATAATATTCTAAGGTCAGCCAATTGGCGAACTTTGCAAGCAAATCTATTTTATTGACGTATCCCATTCACGTGCAGATGTGGCCTTACTCGGTGCAATTGCAGCCTCCTAATAACGTCGCTAAATTATCTCGGCCCCATGCCTTCATTCACATTCCGTTAATTTGCACCTCGCCCTTTAGCCGGGGCAGACGTCGTCATCTTCACGCTCGGTGACTTTCGCCCGTTCGTAATCATCATTTACCGAAATAAAAGAATTTGTGTGTGTGTGTACGGTACGGTGTGTGTGTGTATTTATGGAGAGTGGTGGTGTAGCGGTTAGCGCTACGCTACGCTACGAACCCAGCGACCCGAGTTTGATTCCCGCTCACGGCCTACACCAGTGACGAATATCTGAACCGGTCCTGGGCCTCCCATAGGTCGACTCGGCCTCAAATGAGTACCTGGTGCGGTGTGTAAACATCGCCGCTAGGGAGACAAAGGCGGTCGGGCGTGGTGCTGGCCACCCACCCCCTCGTGTGCTGTGCCGGCCTTCATAGGTGCTTGCTAACAGCACTTGCCCCAACAGTCTGTTGAGGCTATACGGGGGATATTTTTCTTTTGTGTTTGTTGAACTTCTTTCGTCACCGTACGTAGCCAACCGCGCTAATCAGAGGTGCGGGGGTTAAGGACAACAAACAAATAATATCTACTTGGTTCTTTCGGTAAAGTCACGTAGAAGGGAAATAATAAAATAATAAAAATAAAACATAAAATAATTCTCACGACGTTTCGGCCACAACGCAAGCAGCCGTCCTCAGGTGAAACCAGGTCTGTCGCCTCGACAGAACCAAAAAGATGAATCCCTGCAGTCACGAAAGCTTTAAATCGAAACAAATAATAAATAAATAGATAAAAATGTACTGGAGCATTGACAGAACAGCCTCGTTTCACTCCGTAGCTCAACAATGGGCGGTTAACAGGCGAGATGTTAACTACCTCGCCTGGTCTACAGGAGGTCGTGGGTTCTATCCCGACCCTGACGATGCCTGCTGCTGCTGTATATTTGGAGTCTGCGTCTCTCTCTCTCATCATCATCACGGTGGCTAGGAGATGTTAACTACCTCGTCTGGTATACAGGAGGTAGTGGGTTCGATCCCGACCCTGACGATGCCTGCTGCTGTATATTTGGAGTCTGCGTATCTCTCTCTCTCATCATCATCACGGTGGCGAGGAGATGTTAACTACCTCACCAGGTATGCAGGAGGTTGTGAGTTTGATCCCAACCCTGATGATGCCTGCTGCTGTATATTGGGAGTTTGCGTCTCTCTCACTGTCTTCATCACGGTGACTATGAGATGTTAACTACCTCACCAGGTATGCAGGAGGTTGTGAGTTTGATCCCAACCCTGATGATGCCTGCTGCTGTATATTTGGAGTTTGCGTCTCTCTCACTGTCTTCATCACGGTGACTATGAGATGTTAACTACCTCACCAGGTATGCAGGAGGTTGTGAGTTTGATCCCAACCCTGATGATGCCTGCTGCTGTATATTTGGAGTTTGCGTCTCTCTCACTGTCTTCATCACGGTGACTATGAGATGTTAACTACCTCACCAGGTATGCAGGAGGTTGTGAGTTTGATCCCAACCCTGATGATGCCTGCTGCTGTATATTTGGAGTTTGCGTCTCTCTCACTGTCTTCATCACGGTGACTATGAGATGTTAACTACCTCACCAGGTATGCAGGAGGTTGTGAGTTTGATCCCAACCCTGATGATGCCTGCTGCTGTATATTTGGAGTTTGCGTCTCTCTCACTGTCTTCATCACGGTGACTATGAGATGTTAACTACCTCACCAGGTATGCAGGAGGTTGTGAGTTTGATCCCAACCCTGATGATGCCTGCTGCTGTATATTTGGAGTTTGCGTCTCTCTCACTGTCTTCATCACGGTGACTATGAGATGTTAACTACCTCACCAGGTATGCAGGAGGTTGTGAGTTTGATCCCAACCCTGATGATGCCTGCTGCTGTATATTTGGAGTCTGCGTATCTCTCTCTGTCTTCATCACGGTGACTATGAGATGTTAACTACCTCACCAGGTATGCAGGAGGTTGTGAGTTTGATCCCAACCCTGATGATGCCTGCTGCTGTATATTTGGAGTTTGCGTCTCTCTCATCATCATCACGGTGGCTAGGAGATGTTAACTACCTCACCAGGTATGCAGGAGGTTGTGAGTTTGATCCCAACCCTGACGATGCCTGCTGCTGTATATTTGGAGTTTGCGTCTCTCTCACTGTCTTCATCACGGTGACTATGAGATGTTGACTACCTCGCCTGGTATGCAGGAGATCGTGGGTTCGATCCCCGACCCTGACGATGCCTGCTGCTGCATATTTTGAGTTTGCATCTCTCATCTTGTCTGGTTAAATAAAATGAGTTTTTTAGTTTAGATGTCAACTATTTGGCTGTTACTATAACTTACCATGTGGTGATGGTGATAATCCACTTTGCCAAGGTGTCATTTGTGGTGGGTTAGGTCGCTTCTTTCGAAAGAGCTTCATAGATCAGTGGTCCTTACCTGGTCTATTTGGAGTTTGCATGTCTCTCTCTCTCTCCCCGTGGTCACGTGAAATATTTCTCCCGGCTCCTCCAGTTTTGTCCCTCCAAGTTAGGAATCGGCATCGTGCATTTAGAGTCATTCGGCTACTGATATGAATTTCCACGTGGTGATGATGATGATGATTTCGGTCACTTCTTTGCGCTGTCATTTGTGATGGGCATATATAGCCTGTGGATGCTGTGGCTCTGCCTTTTGGCAGCAGTAGCTCTACTCTTTGGTTCTTTCGGTAAAGTCACGTAGTTAGAAATAAAATGAAAGCAAATCACGACGTTTCGATCGCAACACAAGCAGTCGTCATCAGGCAAAAGGGGTCAGCCTCTAAAGGCAAACTGTTTATAAGGGTTTGGGGATGGGCGTAGCCCAAGTGTATCAAGAACACATCAATCGTGGGCGGTGTACGAGTGCCAATGCAGCAACAATGCCAAACGCTGGGGATGCGGCAGAGGTCGCAAACGGGTTTTGATTCCTTACCCGTACCCGTACCCGGCCGCACCAGGGTCGCAAACGGGTACCCGTACCCGGCCGGGTAGGGGTAGGGTACGGGTATCGGGTACCTGAATGCGACCTTTGGGATGAAGCCATGTTGCAGGCGCGGGTGGGTTGATTCTAGGAACTTGAATTGTGAGAAGAGACAAGACGTTGGGAAATGAGTGACAAACAGTTACTCACCAGTGACTCACAGCCTACCCGTACCCAGCCACACCAGGGTCGCAAACGGGTACCTGTACCCGGCCGGGTACGGGTAGCCGGGTATCGGGTAGAGTACGGGTATCGGGTACCCGGTTGCGACCTCTGGGATGCGGGGGGAGATATTAACTCGGAAAAATAGACTAGTATCCGGCAGATATGCTGGAACAACCATAAACAGTTAAGGGTTTACCTGGTTAATAACATCCTTCCATGATTATTGTTTTTTTACCCTTCTATCTGGCAACAAAACTGAAACCTTTTTTACGAGGAGTCATGTTTGCATAGACCACAATACCTGCAGTCGTAATGCAAAAAAAAACATAACTCTGATAATGTATGCACTGTCCTTGAAGTTGATTGGTCCACACCCAAGACAGCTTTCCTTAGAGCCTAGTCTCACATGGGTTGGACCAGATGACACCAAAAGACTGCAGGTATTGTGGTCTATGCAAACATGACTCCTTGTAAAAAAGGTGTCAGTTTTGTTGCCAGATAGA